TTCAATCCTATGCGATGCTTTATTTAAATTATGCTAATATGATACTGCAGAAAAAGAACAATTTGTAGACTATTGTTGAGTTTATTTAGCGTTTGATTCAACTATTATCAGACATTGTCGAAAAAAAAATCATATCCTCTATCACATATTCGCAATGGGAAAAGTAATAATAGCAAGAGCATGGCCGTATCATTATCGGTTTAAGATTTTTAGTTTGTCGCACTAACTACTACTGATTCGAAAACACAACTTCTTTTTAGTAATGCCTGCACTAATGTACGCGAGCACGACGCCGTCGCTTTCAGGATTAATTGAGTTTACGGTTAATTTTCAACGAACCTTCCACTTTAATCCCCGCGTGTTCTCTTTATAGCACCGGCTATGCACATGGGTGTACACTTATATACCCGCTAAGCTCGCACTCGGTGCTGCGCTGCACCCCTTTATCGTACCCCTCCCCCGTCTTTCACCTGTCAGGACATCCACCCGTGGCATTTGCGTAATGTGATACGCGCGTCGCTGCATTATGCTTTAATTGCGTCATTATAAAACGAAAATTTCCTCATGCCCTCGCTGAGTCGGCGCCATTGTAGGCAAATATACGCAGGCAATTTAATTCGCGAGCGCCAGCGTGTTACTTTGATGGAATTATCTCTGTCGGAATATTTGTCTGGTGTCCACATATATTTCGCGGACCATAACACAACCTTATGACCTTTAAAATAGCGAAGTGACACGTAAAAGACTAAAGTGATTTTTAAACGGATAAGAAACATTGTCTTGTTGTTTTAAAAAATATTTTTTATCGCATGGTATTTTATACTTAAAAAAATATATTACCTGTTCTCTTAAATGTTACATTTTAACGTACGCTCTATTAATTTTCATTTATCTACTAGATCTATGTAATGTACATTAATATATGAACTGTACTAGTGCGGTGTGTATCGACTAAAGTTTGTAATCAATGCAGTAGTAAAGTCAATTCGTATTAAACAGCGCTTTAGATCAGAAAATAGCCGCAAATTCTGCACTATAATATGCACTGCTCTCATAATACGCGGGATTATACGAACTCGAAGCAACCCATTTGCCGATGGCGGTATTTCCCACGCACGAAACTCATTGTCGTAATATCAATAATGTACAACAATGCATTATCAGGATTATTCGTATTCACGGCTTAATTTATTATACTATTGCACAAGGATAAGGATACTGACCACTAACAAATAACGGTCCAGGCCTCATTAATAATAATAGATCCGCATAACATTTTATCAATTTTATAAAAGACAAAATGGAATAAAAACTTTTATTTTTGAAATTTAAATATTGATAAAGGAAAATGTTTAATTACTGATAACATTTTTATATTAAACCTTCACCAATGTTGGACTTCAAAGACACACTGACACAAATTTCTGATTGAAGATGGACGAACCAGAAGATTCTGATCAATCAAAATTCCAGTCATCATAATTGGATATCTGACTATCTCGAATTCTGATTGATATGATCAAAATCTTTTTTGTCCATTTTCAATCAGAAATTTTTTTGAGTGCATAGTCGATTTTTTAATTGTAAATTTTAGTAGGTTAAATCTGTAAAAAAAAAAATAAATAAAAGTGAAATACAATTCAACTTCTATAGGGTAAAAACTCGTTAAAGTTTTCACGAGAAAGAATTTTTTTTTAGATTTTCATACGATCCAGAATAATATAAAAATTTGAACTGAAGTTTGAAGATCCAAATTGTGAAGACTCACGACGAAGGATAAAATTTTATATTGCCAATGAGAATTTTATAATACTCACATTAAAATTGGGGTTCTCAAAAAATTTGTTTATGTTAAAAAAGTTTTTGCAATTAAAAAATGGTTTCAAATCTATCTGTACAGAGAGATTCTTTTCCTAGGTCACTTTTTGAGATTATTGAAATTGTTTAAAAAGTGCAGAGCCGTTATTCTACACCACGTTCTTGAAATAGTTTTAGCAATACCGAAAAGTATGATTTCGCTCTTCGGCTGGGGCGTACTTGCCCTAGGTTATACCGTCTGCATTGCGCCCGCTTCCGTCTTTATCAGAAATTCCATTTAGAAATTTTCCCGAATTCCTCTACTTATCGTCGAGCTTATCGTCAAGCCGGTATTTCCCTGTTCCTTCCGCTTTGTCGTCCCGTGAAATCAACTAACGAGACAGTAGAACGAGGTTTGAAAACAAAAAGAGGGGAAAGAAGACCGTGTAATTGAATTTCCACAATCTCCAAATGATACAACTGGGCACGTATGTTCGTCGCTTGACTTTTAAGCAACGGTAAGAGCCACCAAGGCGCGGAAGGCGTCGCGATACGAAATCAATTCGGGTCATCTGCGTCGCGCCACCGTCAGAGTCGGCTTTATTTCTCCAAACTCCGCATCTATCTCGCGCGCGAGATCGCCGGTAGCAGATCTGCAGAGGAGAATATTTATTGCGCTGTCTTATCGTCGCATGGGAAAAGCGAGCAGCGGCAGAGAATTCTTTACTGCGCCGGACGTTCTCTCCCCAATGGAATTCCTCTCTTTTTCGACTTTCTTGAGCGTTCCCTGTCACTCTTTTTTCTCTTCTTGTTCTCCCCTTTCTACTTACTGTATTTTTCGCAAACCCATTTGCACTTTTCTGCTACCCCGTAGCACAACTCGATACCACACGGATACTCATTATACATCTCGGTAATGACGCCAAAAAGATTGCGAAAACACACAATCTATTGAACTCTCTGATGATCGAACTGTGATGTTCGAACATATCGAACAAAAAGATCATGGGTTTGCTGCATGTACTATAAAAGAAGGGTTAAATGTAGATTAATCATGTATTAAATCTTAATAAATTTGCATTGATTGTATTTCTTTAAATTATATTAATACACAATGACAAGCTAATGATTTTACAAATTTGCCGGCGTTTACTAAATATACGTAGCATCCATCTTTATCCATCTTTTTTCCATAGATTGCAACAGGAAAAAATAGGACATTGTAGTATTCACGAACTATTAATGAAAGTGAAATAATTAGAATTAACAAGTAAGCAATTGTAAATATTATTAGCTAATGTAGAGATTTTTCTAAATTTTATAAAATATTCGAAAAAATCAACTCACGGATAAAATAATCTTCTATTTGACATAATTGGAACTTAAAATCTTGTAATTCTTTATTTTTTTTTCTTTTTGGATAAATTCTATAATACGTAGATTTTATTTTTAAATAATTATAATATCTTTGCTCGATAGAGTATTATTTATAAATTCTTTACAGAATTAATTTAGGGGGGATTATTTCATATGGAATGTTCAAATATTTTGGCGCCTTACCATTTATATTAGTAGCGTCTCAGATCGACTACAGATGATATCAAAAATGTTTTATAAACAAAAGTTTTACTATAAAATTACCCTCATCTACGTTATAATATTTTTTTTAAATATTTTTTTTAATATTTATTTTTAAAAATTTTTGAAAATTTTTTTTAAATAATTATTTTTTAAAAATATTATTTAACTTTGCTTAAAAAATGCTTAAAATCGTTTTTTTCACCGCAATTGATATTTTCTAAATATTTTCTAAATTCTATTACGTAATTTATGTATATACAAAGTCTTATTAAAACAGTGATGATTTCTTGTCAGATAGACCGAATACTTATTTCAATAAAAAATGACTTTTTTTGCAATATTAGAAGATTATGAGATTATAGTTTTTCTGTAGTTTTTGGATGCTGAGAACAAAACTGGTTTCTATTCTATTCTAAATTGCTCCATCAAGTTATAATTTTGAGATATTTGTTATAATTGAAGTTATAAAAAATTCTTACAATTAAAATTCCAATAGATACAATTAATTATATTTAATCATTTTGCAAACAGGTTAGACACTTCATTTGGCGATTTCTTAAAATTAGAAAAAGTTGAACAATAAATTGAAACTTAGATTTATTATTGCTCATTTGCTGTAAAGCCATTTATTATTTTTATTGAGTCAGTTTGGACTTTACAAATCTATCATTTTGTCTGATATTATTACGGAGAAGTTTCGCTCTCAATAGATTTTTACTTTGTATAAACATAACTTTTAAATGCACCAAAATGTAGCAAAAAATAATTGGGATATTGATCGTGTTTAAATCAAATGAAGTAACTAACCTGCTCGGAGAACGATTGAATGTAATTAATTGGATGTATTAGACTAGAAGTAAGAACTAATCATGTTTAATCGCTCGGTAAACAGACTTTGTTGTCTTGAACATACTCATTATGTACTATTATAATGTCTTGCATTATGTTGATGTTGCTATTAGAGAAAGTCATTGTATGAAATACTAATGACAAGTACTGAAGAAGGTCCAATGTTTCGTAAGCGAAAGTAGATAACCATTAAGGTACAATTGTTATAGGACGTTTTCCAGTATGGATGCACTGTAATACAATCATTTATTTTATCCTTAACGTTCTTAGCGAATAGCAAAGACGTAATGTTCATTACTATTGTGTTACATTGCTCTTGCTAGAAAATACACACAACGTTACTCATCTTTACAAAGTACCAGGGTAGTAGTGCGAGACGAAGCCACGCGAGAGTTGAATAGAGGAGGGCTGTACTGTGTGTCTTGTACGTGTGTACTTTCTCTGACTTTTTGTGCGCAGCAAAATGCTATTATTGGTTAAAAATTTTTCATGAAGTCGCACTTTCAGTTAGTTCTCGAAAATTTGAATTACATGATATTTTGCTTTCGCAGAAAGTGCTACTGCCTTTATTATTTACTTAACTCTAGTGATATTATCATTTGTATAAACAATTTCTATTGGATTAATTATGTATTAAAAATGTGGTTTTATATTTTTTCCGTTTGACAGTATAATATTTATAATTAGGGAAACATTTGTTTTTATTTAAATTTGATTTTTATTCAACACTTAAAAAATTATTTTATCAAGTTACACATTTTACTTTATCTACCTAACATTATTTATTCATATATTTCATTCTTTCTACGCAAAGTGCACATTCGCGGCGGACTGCTACTTACAGAGAAATCATACTCGCATCCAAATATGCTGTAAAGAAAGAGTTAAAGATTAATTATTAAATTTTGAAATAACAAAAATAAATCTTAATAGATTACGTTGATTGTATTTTTTTCAATTATATTAATTTAAAAAATGATAACGTAAGGATTTTACAAATTTGCTGAGATTTATAAAACGTACATATAGTGTCCATTTCTAACGTTATACATTTTTATCCATCTTATCTCTGTCCTTATTCCATAGATTGCAACAGGAAAAAATAGGACATTGTAGTATTCACGAACTATTAATGAAAGCAAAATCATTAGAATTAGATTAATAACCAAGAAATATTATTAGCCAACATAGAAATTTTTTTAAATCTTGCAAAAAAAATAAAATTGATAAAAATTCAAAGAAATCAATTTTACAGAGAGAATTTATAATAAAACAAAATAATGAGTATTTTAAAATATGTCACCATTTTATTTTATCTAAATTCTCTTTAGTTATAATATAAATGGCATGAAAAAAACTTTAACGTGCTATTTCTCGCTTATAATATCACGATATGACTATGACGATTAATCAGGAGTCTTATTAAAAAGTTGACCATTTTATAGGGTTTCGGCTTGACAAAAAGAGTCAACCATTGGACATTATTATAATTGAACATCAATCTCAAAAAAATTTTAAGTTCAATATAGAAAAAGTTCAAGTTGATAGAAATTATCGAAAAAAAATTTAAGTTGTACATAAAGATTTTTAAGACATACGAAGCACATACATAGTAATTATAATAATAAAACATATGAAAATAGTCCTTTTTTCAATTAACTGAAAATTTCTCAAAATTGTGACGTAATAGAGCAATTTGAAAATGAGATTCATATTCAGCGTCCAAAAATTACAGGAAGTAAATAATCTTATTCTGATGTTTTTTTTTATTGAACTGTATTGTAATAAATACTTACATTGGTAAACATAGTTACATTGATGGGAGAAAAAACTGCATTTATAGTCATTGGCTTTTGCATCATCATCAGAATAACATTCGTTCTTACATGACAATCGAGATTAGAATTGAGCCATTTGCTAAAGTATATTTCTTTACGAAATTCCTCGCCCTAAATACATGTATCCAGAATAGTCAATTTTGAGTTACATTTATTATTTTACTGCTTCGTTACATCTGTAATATCAAATTTAATCTAGTGTATGTCGCACTCTTCTTCTAAATATATCATTATTTTAAAATGATAATTAAATTTAACACTACATTATATTAATTTGATATTATATAGTGGCAAATATAACTATTGTTTTAATACAATATAACAATATTATTGAGTAGGTGCAGTGGCGACTCACATTAGGTTAAATCTGACACTACAGATTTAACAGTGTAGATTATAAAAACTTACCGCATTTGTGAGAAAAGTACCATACCATGTGTACATAAATGTTTGAAGCAATTTTACTCCAGCGTATGACAGAGATGAGGAAACGTTTTCAAGATTAAAGACCGATAACTGTTGCAAATGTTTAACGATTAATATTATGTCAGTGACTATTTGTGTAATGCAATACCATTTACGCAGTAAAAAACTTTCAAGCAGTGCGCAGCCTTTGATTCTGTATTTTGTAACAGATTACGACTGCACACAGTGGACTAGATAATAAAATTAAATATCTCAATATTTTACATTAATGTATTTACGTACTGATATGAAGTCGTATATCAAAAAACAAAGAAGCACAGCATTGCTGACAATATGCCAAAAGACGATTGGTCCATAAACGTGCTCCAGCGTGTTACGACATTGCAATAGCTTCTGATGTTTGACTGCGCACGTTCTCAAGAGATCCGAAAACTTCTCAGTCGACAGAGGATTCGTGAAAGCGAACATCATGGCGCGTATTGTTGAACTGATCTGATAAACATAGAAGCCAAAAGCGCTGTCGATACCGCACGCCATCATGCAACTGAGTGTTATTAAACCTGTCTCGTAAAACATATGTATATGATATAAAAAATTGTCAGGAACAGTCCAGAACCATCCGAATCCCCTGCTGAGTGGTAGGGTATAGTTCGTGGGTAAATGAAAGTAAAGAAGATTTTGAATTATATAAATATACGAAGACCTAGAATATGCGACTATGATTCCTATTAAAAAGACGAAATATATGTATGCTAGAGTAGATATTGCACGCAGAGACGAAAATATTACTGTCTGCACTTTTTCATTCTGCATAAGCTCCTCCTTGAAAAGATCATTCAGTGTCCGATGATAATTTATCAAAGAGTCGCGATTTATTTTGAAACTTAGCACCTTAAATAAAACAAGAGATGATATTTCTTATTCGAAAAATAGAAATTAATTAGATATTGACACATAGTATGTTTAATATTCAAATTTTTCAAATCAATATTTCTTCCTATCTTCAAAAAACGTACAAAAGAGTAATATTTATATACCGAAATGGTGTTTATAAAAAGATTAATTGGTTAGCTAAATACGCTTATTCCTTTTTTTACAAATGGTTTCTTTTGTAAATTTTTCTTTTATTCGATTCTAAATCGAGTTTATTCTTTAATAAATGTAAATATGTGTACATAAAATATGTAAAGCAGAATTTATTTTTAAAATTAATTAAAAAATATAATTTTGTAATCTGTTAGATTCATTGAATTAATCATATTAATCATATTACGTGTGTATATTAATATTCTTATAAATTAATTTATTTATATTTTATTACATGTAAAATATTTTTCTTATTTTATTTTTTTATATAATAAAATTCCTATTTCCTTCTAGACAGTACCTTAATAATGGCGCTAAATCCTGATAGGGCTACTCCAACGAATTTCACCATGATCTTTATGTTATGTCTGACGACATAGCTCATATGCAAGCTTATCATTGTATAAATAATCATTGATAAGAACACACAAATTGACCAATAATACATTAATTTGTTGGATTTTGTGGGCATATACCAACAACCATTGATGATAAGCAAAGTTCGAAAGAAACGTTTATACGTGCGATATGCTTTTAATCGTTTATCAATCATCTTCTTAATACTTGCATCAGGTATACATATAACTCAAAGGGATGCTCTCTAAATTGACAAAACCCAATGTTTTTTAAATATCAGTGAAATATCAAGTTTTGGAGTTTAAATTGACACAGAAAAAAATTTGAATTTTTTAATAAGAAGAAATATCTTTGATTTTTATTTTTCAAATATATGTTTGTTATTAATACTGATTTTTCCTGTGGCTTTAACAATAATTGCAATAATAATAATAATTACATTTAAATCTCTTTAATCATATTCGAAGTATAATTAGATATACATATCCAATAATGTTAACTTCCGAACCTGCGTGTTTATAAAAACTGAGATGAATGTATTCTTTATATTTATAATTAATAATAGTAAATTACATTATAACATTATAATTTTACGATCCTTATTGTTACAGAAATTTAGAATAATTTATTTCAAACGTTTAAAAAAATGATAATTTAAAAACTGTTATTTTGTATAAAATTTAAATAAACATGTATGTTGTGTTGACTGTTGCATAATGTCTGCGATGTTCAAGAAAAAATTTTTATGTTAGAAGACTTTCAAATGTCTCTGGAAATATCTATCAGTGTTTGTGATAGGTAGAAAACGATGATTTTACTATTAATCATGCAATGTCAAAGGAAGAGACTTTACCTTCTATCTTGCCAAGTCAAATCCAAACTGTTGAAGGATTGTAACTTGTATTATCATTGCTTTCAAATTTCTTTTCATTGACTGTTATTCGCATTGTAGGTCTGTCGAGAATTTGAAAAATTAATGGCTAATTTTGTGGTCAATTTAATATATCATTCGATAGAATTGTTTGAAATGGAATATAATTTAGGTTTCTTGGAATTATAGACGAATTATAAACATAAGGAAAATTACACTTCAAAGAGAATGAAAAGATGGATCCGCCAGACCGTATGGGTTGCACTGCAAAACGCATCAAGATTAGGGTTATTTCTTATTTAACTTATTAAGGACAGATTTACAATTCTCTTTTCTTAAGTCAAGAAAGCTATTTTATTGATCATAATGCTGTTAGTATACCTGTTGACTATGCGCACCGTAAGGATATTGATACTTATACACTTAGAGCTCTGGTAGAGTGAAGAGATACAAGTAGAAGTCTGAATAAAAGAGATTTTGTTCAGTCACCTATACTTGGTAGTTTATCTTTCTGGTATGTATATATTATTGATATATATTTTTTTATAAAAATATATTAGGTGTTGGAATTAATTCGTAGCGTTTTACAAGTGATGGGAAGTACCTTCATTAATGTATTTTTTAATGCTCATGTGAAATAAATAACATTCTTTCATTAAAAAACGCTACGAATTAATTCCAACACCTAATATATTTTGCTGAATTAAGTGCAGCTTAATAATCTTATTAAATATATATGTGTACACACGTTATATTGATCGATGATCACAATTTTTCATTAATTTATCTTTTTTATAACAAAGAGATTACCGATTATCTTTATTTCTGAGACAAAATAGTTTATACTGTCAATCGAAACATTGTTGTTGTATCATTAGCAACATATATATTGATAATACATAATTTGAGGATATTAGCATATATCTTTATAAAAAAGGATTCTATTCAATCACCTGCTCGATACGTCTTTCATTAATATGTTTACGATATTGATATATTTTCCCTTTACTTACTATTAATGTACAACTTAAGTCTAATTGTCCCTTTTATATATATAATAATACATTTATATAAAATATTGCATTTTATAATAAACGTAATAATTAGTTGTAACACCATCTTATTTAAATATAGATTAAACATTAAGAGTATAATAAACAGTATAATACGAACTTATACCGTTGAAAATAAATCTGATTAAATACAAAAATTCCTATTTGGTCAAAGCAGAATTTTAGTACTTAAATATTTTTATGCAAATTCATATACATCTGATTTTACATACTGCGCTGAAATCTTTTTCGGTGTTGAAATGCCATCATGAGCAGAATTAAAATAGTAATATCACTGAAATTTCAGATTCAAATCCTGACTGAGGCATCATTTTTGCAATGAATTATTTACAGATTTTAAAATTTTTATCTAATTATTAATAACATATTATAAAGATGTTTTTCAGCATAAAAGAAAGCTATTAAATATCTACTTGTTAATTAAATAAAGTGATACTACTCTGATTCTGTTCATAATGATGTTTTAAAGTATATTATTGAAATATCAGGTTACGATATAATATTTCACATTTTATATCGGTTTACCTCTTTGTCTTCCAGAAAATTAATATAAAATTTTATAATCGTACTTTTGTATTTTTATGCACAGAATTATAGTATAAATTAATGTGTAAAGGAAATCGATCTCTGTCAGCTTGTAGACGAAGACTTGAGATAATAGTCTTTCTATTCTTACACAGTATAGGTAATTTCTTCTCATTAGTCTTTTCAAATCACTGATAACTGAAAATAAAGAACAATACATAAAATTGATTTAGGTATAATAAAATATTTAGAATTAGTATAAAACTTATCTGAAGTAATCTTGATGAACAGTTTTTATTTTATGCACTAATTAACATCTTTATGTGCATCACTGATTGTACAAAGTGCAGAATGATGAAGAAGAATTGTAATTCGCTGACTATCGCCAGCGCCTCTTATGCCATTATCATTCTAGTGCTTTTTGCGCCAAAAATTCCAAAAGGATATTTCCTCCACTCTACGGCGGCGTTGACGATAACGATGACGTATTTAAAAAAAAGAATAAAGTTTCACACATTCAAACTTTGAGCAATATCTCCGCTCATAGACAAAAAATAAAAACATTTTAAAATATAAGGGATATATTCTCAGTCATACGTATAAATAATTAAGATCTTTATTTCACGTATAGAGATACTCGGACGTATCGGATCGTCTGTTCGTCAGAACGACTCTATATCTTCTCAGTCAAACTCTCTCGAAAGACTGTATTCATAAAACTCTCACGCCTTGCCCGGAAACGAAAGATGCGTTCCGAGTTATGAATGAAACGCATGATATATTATTTGTTTCTGTTGTTCACCGAATAATAAAAAAAGATAAAATGATACATTCTGCACTTCATGTATAATCCGGAACGCACTCGAAATAAGCAATATCGCTAAAACCAGAATTAGATTACGTATTGAAGATTAAAATTGAAAATTGAAAGATTAAAATTTGATCAATCACAAAACAATATATATAGAAGTTAAAATTCCTGTGTCTCCATTGGTCAAATTTCAATCTTTAATCTCCAATCTCAAGCTCATAAGGTTATACATTATCTATTATAAGGTCATTCCTTTATTTATTTTTTTATCTACACTTTATGACACTATCTGTATTCACATTTTAATTTTTTTATCTACACTTTATGACACTATCTATTCACACGTTTCATTCTGTCTATGCCAAGTGTACGGTAGACTTCTTCATGCAGAGGAAGGAATCATATTCGTGATTACGTGTGCTGTAAAGAAAGAGTTAAATATAGATTAATCATTAATTATTATAATAATAAAATCAATCTTAATAGATTACATTTGTTGTATTTTTTAAGATTATATTAATAACACAATAATAACTTTATGATTTTACGAATTATTCGTGTTTGTAAAACTTACGTAACATCTATTTCTATCCATCTTTATTCCATATATTAATAGATTTAAATAGAAAAAAATAGGATATTGCAGCATTCACCATCTATTAAAGAAAGCAAAATAATTAGAATTATATTAATATAAGAAAAATATGCAAATGTAAATATTATTAATATTATAAATATTACCAATGTAGACACTTTTCTAAACTTTGCAAAAAAGAATTAATAAAAATTCGAAGAAATCAATTTCACAGATAAAATAATCTTCTAATTGACGTAATAATAACATTAAAAATCTAGTTCTTTATTTCTTTATTTTGCAGAAATTCTATAATACACAGATCATCCTATATTTTAAAAATAATTTTCATTGTTTTATAGAATATTATTCAAATTTTTTGGAATTTGTATTTTTCTATGTTTTGAATCTTTATTTTTGTAAAATTAAAATATAGATGTGTTATTTTAAAGTAATAACAGTGATAAAACTAAAAATGATTAAAAAGTAAATAAAAAAAATGTTTTATATAAAAGTTTTACTATAAAATTACTTATAAATTTATACACCTCATCCATGTTAATAATATTTTTATGAAATAATTATTTTTAAAAATTGAAAAAAATTTATTAACAATTATTTTTTTTTAATATTATTTAATTACATCATTTTGTGTACATCATTTCTTCCTTCAAAATTTGTTTGAGCCGCTTACAAGAGATTCTTATCTGATATTCTTACTGATATTTTCTAAATTTATCTATTTATGTAATTTAGAAGTTTCTAAATTGCTCCATCATATCATAATTTTGACATTTGAAATTTGTTCTAATTAAAATTATAAAAAAGTATTTTGCATATATTTTATCATATTATTGTTTCGACATGTAATGTATATATTGATATATAACGGACGGAGCATAACATTGAAACCATTTTGACAGGCCTAGAAAGAGATTGACTAATGTATGGATAAAATACACTACTGTTCTCTCTCTTTCTCTCTTTTATAACAAAATTCGACATAGAATAATAGTAGGAGAATTCCATTCCTATATATTTTTTCTCTCTAGGTCTGTCAAGATGACAAATCAAAGAAATTTCACTGCATTCTCCTTCCAGTATTATATGGCGATGAACTAGAATTTTTATTGTAATCAAAATTAAATATGTTTATGTATCATCTATTATTAGATATTATGTGGTTAACTATATAAAGTTTATATTACTGGAGAGATAGAGAGAAAGAGATGAATTAAGTTACTTATTAAGTTAATTTTTTAAGAGTTTTCTAAATCGTTGAATTCGATGTCAAAATTGACAAATTCAAAATAATGAAAGACTTTATGCAAAAAATTTTTGCAATAATCAGATTTTTATGTTTTGATATCCATATTAAATTTTGAATTTGTATTCAGTGACCTAAAAGCGATCTAAAAAAAAACCCTTAGGTTTGAATTTTAATTGAAAGTTATTTGATAAATGGTCAATGATCTAATTCGCAGTTTTTTAAAAAAAATCCCATATTTAACTATGAATATTTTATTAATCATAGCCGACACAAAAAATTCCTTTCGAAAGCTGAAAATTCCACAAATCCTGACATTCTCAAAGAATCTCCCTCATTCAAAGATGTAAAAGTTGATTTTTTTAAAGTAAATTGCGAATAAATTAGACAACTGATTAAGATAATTTTTATTTCTTTTAATGGAAAGTTTTGTGTTATAAGTTTTAGAGGTAAAATGATACATCCCACTCTTTTATTCTTCTCTCCTGTATTATTAAATTTTGCGCATCAAGAATAACATAAAAATTGCAAGAAATGTTCCTGGCAGTTCAGTAATTAAAATATTTCACTCTTTTTCATCTGTATTCTGCATTGGTACGCAGTCATTAAATCAGTATTTGAGTTAAAATATTAAATATAGAAATTTAACAAAGTGGCAGTAAGGCGAAAGTCATGTTTTCAACATTTTTTGAGCATTTTCTATATGGATTATATAATTGATAAATATAAACAAATTCTAGTTTACAAACTGCAAAAAAAAGTATCCGTAATAAATGTACAAAGTATCAAGTCGTTTCTTCGGGAGAGTTTCTCCACAATTTTGTAAATATATTGTAATTTTAAGAAAAACCGTTTTAAAATAATATTGATTTTTTTATGTATATAATCCAAGTGCTTATAACGAGTATCATGTATGTAGACCAATTGTAATAGCTAAAATTTATATCATTTCGCTTATCCAACTTATCTTAAGAATCCTGACATAATAAGTTAGAAACCGGTTTCTTGAAAGCATTTGCTCGATCCGCGCAATATCTCAGAAAATGTCAATTATTTAAAAAAATATGTATATATATTTTTTCAAAACTACTTTAAAGGTTTATTTCTATAATACATACATGTCAAAAATCTTTTCACAATTGAAAATTTCTCAAAATTGTGACGTATTAGAGCAAAGCAGAGATTTGAAAATTAAATTCGTATTCAGCGACCAAAAAATTCAGGAAATGAAAATTTTTTGTATGATTTTTTTATATAAATTGAAATATAATTTAAATATTTACATTGATAAACATGATTACATCTATGGGAGAAAAAATTGCGTTAACAGTCATTGGTTTCTGTATCATCATCAGAATAATATTTGTTCTTACATGACGATCGAGATTTGAATTGGGCCATTTGCTGAAGTATATTCCATTACGAAAATCCTCACCCTAAATGTATCCAAAATGATCAATTTTGAATTATAATAATTGTTTTTAAGAAGATTATAAAAACTAGAAGATCATAAAAACTAGATTATAAAAACTTACTGCATTTGTGAGAAAAGTGCCATACCATGCGTACATATATGTTTGAAGTAGTTTTATTGCAGCGTATATCACAGTTGAAGATAGGTTTCGAAAATTAAAGACCGATAACTATTGCAAATGTTTAATTAATATTATGTCAGTGACTATTTGTGTAAAGTAATACCATTAGTGGAGTGAAAAACTTTCAAGCACAACGTAACCTTTGATTCTATATTTTATAACAGGTTACGACTGTACATAGCACAGTGGATTGGATAACAAAATAAAAACATCTATATATTTTGCATTAATGTTTACATACTGATGTGAAGTCGTATATCGACACGCAAATTAGCATGGCATTGGTAACAACATGCCAAAAGACGATGGGTCCATAGATGTGTTCCAGCGAGTTGCGACATTGAAGTAGTTTCTGATGTTTTACTGCGCACGTTTTCAGGAGATCCGAGAACTTCTCAGTGGACAGAGGATTCATAAGAGTGGATATCATGGCGCGTAGTACCGAGCTGAACTGATAAACATAAAAGCCAAAAGTGCTATCGACAGCGCATGTTATTATGCTGCTGAGTGTCATTAAGCCTGGCTCATAGAACAAACGTAGATAATATAAAAAATTATCAGAATTGATCGAGAATAATCCGAATCCCCCGCTGATTGGTAGAGTACAGTTCATAGATGAATGAAAATGGAGAAAATTGTGGATGATACAAATATACGAAGACTTATAATATGCAAACATCATTACTGCCAGAATGGCGAAATATGTATATGCCATAGTATATATTGTGCGCAGGGACGAAAATATTATTGTCGAGATTTTTTCGTTTTGCATAAGCTCCTCCTCAAAAAGATCATTGAGCGTCCGATGATAATTTATCAAAGACTCACGATTTATTATGAAGCTTGCCACCTTAAAGAAGACCAGAAATGCATGTTTCTTCCCGTGCGAAAAAACAGAAATCAGTTAATTAGAAAGTAGTATCTTAACATCACGCTTTTAAATTTGTAATATTTGAATTTTAAACCAAAATTTCTCTTTTTTTTCTCGAAAGATGTTGCAAAAGAATAATATTTATTGAAATAGTGTTTATAACAAAAATTAATCGATTAGCTAATTATGCTCGCTTCTTTTTTATAAATTGTTTCTGTTTTAAATTTTCATTTCGTTCAATTCTAAATTGAGTTGATTCTTTAAAATGTTAATATATGTACATAAAAATATATGTTAAGTAATATTTATTTTTTAAATTAATTGAAAAATATAATTTTGCAATCTCTTTAATATATTGAAGTTTAATGCGTCAATATATTACATTATATCATATATTTTATTATGTTGTAAAATTATATTTTGTTATGTTGTGTATTGCATTATATTTTATTTTTTTAATTATATTAATGTGCGTATATTAATTTATATAAAAATTAATTTATTAATGTTTTATTGTATACATGTAAAATATTTTTCTAAATCTGTTCTGTTATGTAATGGAATGCTATTTCCTTATAAACAGTACCTTGAGAACGGTGCTCAATCCTGATATTACGAAGTTAACGTATTTCATCATGATCCTCATGTTATGTCTGGCGATATAGATCATACGCAAGCTTAGCATTGAGTAAATAATCATTAACAATAATACACAAACTGACCAATAGTACATTGATTTGCCGAACTTTGTTGGTATGTGCCAACACCCAGTGATGGTAAGCAAAGATCGAAGGAAACGTTGATACGTGCGATACGCTTTCAACCGTTTATTAATCATCTTAATACCTGCATCTGGCATACATATAACTCAAAGGAATGTCCTCTAAATTGACAAAACCCAATGTTTTTTAAATATTAGAGAAATTTAAGTTTTGGAATACAAAATTAACAGAGAAGAAATTTGAGTTTTCTTAATGAGAAGTAATATCTTCGATTTTTATTTTTTTAATATATGTTTGTTATTAATACCATTTTTTTGGTAGCTTTAACAATAATTACAATAATTACATCTTTTTAATCGAAATATAATTTTAATGGAAATATATCCAATAATGTTAACATTCTGTACTTATAAAAACTGGGATGAATGCATTTTTTATTTTTATAACTAATAACAAGTCACATTATAACGTTACGATTTTATTATAACACTTATTGTTACAGAAATTTAGAATAATATATTTTAAACGTCTAAAAAAAAATGATAAATTTAAAAAAATTGTCACTTTGTACAAAATTTGAATAAATACGTATATTATATTAAGCGCTGCGTAATGTCTGCGTTCAAG